CACAAGCTGATTGGCAGGATCGGTTGTAAGTACATGTTCAAGCTCAGCTGCAAGCACAGGTTCAAACAAGTATTCAGCAACACAATCAGTTGTTGGATGAAATGCGCAAGATGAGGGAGCAACTGAGTGGAAAAGATGTAGCTCCACCTGAGGAGGAGTCGACGGAGTCAGAGTAGTTTAATTTAGTTAATATGAACTTGTTTATTTCTGTGAACATATTTTATTGAACAGTTTCTTTTAATGTGATGTTTTTAGTTGATTGTTAGTACTGAACTGCTTCTTTTAATGTTATAAATTGTTGTGAAACTGTTGATATGTTGTAATGTTACAATTGAATTGTGGTGGAATTGTTATTTGTATTGGTTTGCAGGTGTGGAAATTTGATTGTTGGCTGGGAAGAAAAATTTTTTTTGTCAATGCTACAGGTTTTCGGCGGATTTGGTGCCGGAAGTTCGCCGGGAACGACGATATAACGAATCGTATCGTATGTACCGTCGGAACCCACCGGCGACATTACCGGAGCACCGTCCGCCGGTAATTACCGGCGTCTACTTTGCGTTGCAAGCGAGTTCGTGGGGTTTGTACATATACTTTGCGGCGTTTTATACGCCGGTAATGGCCGGCGCATACGCCGCCGATAATTACCGGCGCATATGGCGCCAGAATTGTGACGTTTCTCGACGTCGAAAACGATACGTTTTTTCGCCGGTAGTTCGTCGGAAAGTGCGCCGGAGATATTTCTGACGCAAAATTCGCGCCGGAAATAATTTATCGACGCGTCCAAAACCGGCGTATGATTTTCCGCCGAAACGTGCGTCGGAAACTTATAGTTCCGTCAGAATATCTATGTTTTCCGGTGGATTTCGTCCGCCGGTAATAAGGAATTTTCCTGTAGTGGATCTTGGGCTCGTTGGATTTGTCTCGCCAAGCCGCTCGGTTTGAATATAAGCATGCCATATTTGAAAATCATTTTATTGTCCAAAAAATACTTTAATCCTTCCAAATGTGGTCCGGACCCTTGATTCGGATCCATTTGGGCTTGGGTTGGATCAATTTTGGTGTTGTTTGGTTCATCTATTTGAGATGTTCAATTTGACTATAAGTCTCCTGAAATTGGAATTCAGATGATCCCAAATTTAATTTTGAAAGTTTCAAACTTAATATGCCTCAAGATTCGTGCCTGATCAAAGCAATTTTTGAGGACGTATCAAGACTGAAAAGTATCTAAAATATTTTGTTAATTGAAAATAGAAAACAAGGCCATATACAAATGAATAAGCAAGAGAACAATGGCAGATAATGCTGGTTAGTATACATAAATAGTCGCAAAGTGCTAATTTTAGATAGAACTCCACTTAAAATTAAAGTAGGTGAATATTTATTTTAAAGAAGCTTACATATTAAAGTTGAACTTATGATCTTTATCATGAGGATTGAGGAGCGGACTGCTTAAGCCAAAATTCTTTGGTATTAATTATATATTGTATGGTTAAAAAATTAAGATAAAATAAGATCATTTAAAGAAAAATTTTAATGTTCTAAAATTTATTCCCCAACCAATTCAACATAATT